GTGTAGTCAGTGTAAAAAATAAAAAAAAAAAAGAATTTTCGACTTACATCAAATTTGTCCTCGGCACCTTCCCTGCCTTTGTGTGATCGCTCTTCTCCTTCTCCCCCCGTATAGTCTCCACAGGCGTCACTGGGGAAAGATCCACAGGCACGGTTGCCCTCCTTCCCTCGTGTTTCCTACATGCCTGCTCTGTGGGCAACATCCTCTCCTCGTCCTACCCACTTCACCCCCCTTCATTCCCCCCATGCGCATTTGCTGAGTCACCCCAACAACGTGATATCCACACTTGCCCGTTCTCCTTTTTTATTTGTTTTTTTTTTTATTCTTCAGTCGGTGGTTTTTTCCCTCATCTTCTTTTTCTTACGTTTGTTTCTCTCTGCCCTTTGAGCCCCTCATTTGCGTTGGCGCTTCGCTTACATTTGCTCCCTATGCGTGCGTCAACGTGCACCAAAATTTTCTTTCATCCCATACACTTCTCGTTGGATCCTATGAGCATCCCTGATACATAAACCCCACATGTTATTATTACTATTATTTTAGTGTCTTCGCCCAATTTATTCACCACATGGCATGAGCGCCCACACAGTGAAAAAAGGAGAGACACGCCCTGGACAGATACACACATACATATTCCCTCTCACTTCTCATGTCACATATGTTACTGTATTCATTCCGCTTTTTTTTTCCTTTCTTTGGATTATCGTTACCTGTTGTTGTTGTTGTTTATTATTTTGTTCCACGTAATATTTGCCATTTTTTTTTTTCTAATATTATTATTATGTATATATATATACATATATACATACATATATATATATATATGGCGCGTGTGCGTACATGTGAGGCAGTGGAAAATGAGTAGGGGAGGAGGTGTGAGCTTCTGCCTCCAGCAATTCTCTGACATAAAGGAGCGTGAGAAACACCTCAACCTTTGCATCACCTCCCACTGTGGCCACCAACAGGGTGTGTCGGTCAAACACACATACATGCACGTATATACATAGGTCCTGTATGGAGAAAAGGGGCATTTGACGTTTGCCTGCTTCTTGTTATTGCCTTCTGGAAGAAGGCAATAAGAAAACAACCACAGCGTATAAAATGTGGATTGTTTATATATATTATATATATATATAATATATATATATAGCCACATATAGCCAGATAGAGAATGAAAGCATAGCTAGTAGCATCAACATACTTGTTAAAAGGTGTTTTGCGCTGGATCAAGAGGCGCCCGAATTTTCTTCTTTCGCCCCCACTTTTTTGAGGTCCCAGTCAACAATAAACCACGGGTGCCGCATAATCTCCTCCACTGTCACCCTCTTGTTCGGGTCTACGACCAACATCTTTGAGATGAGGTCCCGCACATCTGGCGAGAAGTGGCGGGCCATACGGTACTCACCACGTTCAATTTTCGTAAAAAGCGCATTAACGTTATCGTCGTCAAACGGCAAATATCCAGCCAACATGACAAACAGCACCACACCACAGCTCCATACATCCGCCTTGACCCCGTCGTAGCCCTGCTCCTTGAGCACCTCCGGGGCGACGTAGTTGGGTGTGCCGCAAACGGTTTGCAGCATCGTGCCCCTACCCGCTGCATTCCCGGAGTGAATGTTGCTGAGGCCAAAGTCCGATATCTTAAGCGTGTCGTTTGCGTCAAGTAAAAGATTCTCGGGTTTCAAGTCTCTGTGGGCTATGCCCTGGGAGTGGCAATAGTGAATCCCGGCAATGAGTTGATGGAAGTAGCGACGAGCCGTCGGCTCGTCGAAGCGCTTTGCCTCGGCAATCTTGTCAAAGAGCTCTCCACCTGCGACAAGCTCTAGGACAAGGTAGATGTGATTTGTCGTCTGCATCACCTCACGAAGTTCGATGATGTTTGGCTGATGCAGCATTTTCATGACCGAAATCTCGCGCTTCAGCTGCTCCTCCATGCGCTCCCGCACAAGCTGCCCCTTGTCCATAATTTTAATTGCCCACTCCTTCCCCGTCTCCACATCCCGAGCGAGCTTCACCTTGGAGAAGTTGCCTGAGCCAAGCGTCTTGCCAAGTTCATACTTCCCGATACGTTTTGATCCCGCCATCTCGCCTCAATTACAAGCTGTGTTTGTGTGCCTCGCTTGACTGCCCACCTTGCTGCTTCCCCGCTTAGATGGGTTTCAGCCAAAAAACTTCTTCGTAGCTGCGGTGGTGGTGGTGGCTCTTGCAGAGTACAGACACCACAACTCAGAGCCCGGCGGCGACTTTGCACCCCCCGCTATTTTCACACACACAACAAAAAAAAAAAAAATGCGAAGTGTCGTCCTCTTTCTCCCCACACCACACACTAATCTTGTGGTTGTTGTTGTTCAGCGTTTCCTTTCCTTTGTTTTGTTTTCTCTCTGCTTTCCTTCTTTTAATGCTTCCTCGTTTGAGGACCTTGTACGTTTCCGCTCCTTCGCTGCCGCAGTTGCTGCTGTTGTGTTGTGGTGAGCAGCAGTAGCGGTATGTGAGCCTTGGCTTGATCGCTTCCTCACGGGCCCAAAAAAGTTGTGGGACAAACGTCCCATACATACACATGAAAAGAAAAAAAAAACGGAGAAAAAGGTGGAGATGGAGATGCATGTAACACACACACACACACAGAGACAAACATTTATTTATATCTCGTGACGACGGCAACTGCAGGCACGTCACCACCCAATGCCCACAGCACGACATAAAGAAAACCACGCAGACACACCGTCTCTCTCCCTCTCGCTCGCTTCACTGCAGTCGCCCCCCTCCTTCACCTCCCCCCCCCCCCCCTCCTTCTATTTTGTAGGCTTCCCGCAGTGGGCATCTTCTCCCAGAAGGCAAAGTGCAAAAAGAAAAAAATTCCCCTGCTGCGTGTGTGCGTTGTTTGCTTGAAAAAAAAAAAACTCTCCTCTGTCGTCTTTTGTTGTTTCCTCACCACCGCATCGCCCTGAGGCGTTGCTGTCACGGGAGATGTCCATGGCCCCGCGGATGGGGGCATCCAGCAACAGCCACAGAGAGAGAGTAGAAACGCACGCAAAGAAAGCAACGACAAGAAACAAAAAGTAAAAACACATTTATTTGCATTTTTCATGTTATTTACAAGTATGCGCACCGGTGTCTTTGACGTGTCGCCCCCACGCCGCCGCCTCCAGTTGCAGGGAACATGCGTCGCTGAGGACCCTCATGAGGAGAAACAGGCAGGCACGCGTACAATCCGTAGCACAGCCTAAATCGCATACAACGGAAACAACAAAAACAAAAAAGCAATGAAATCCGTCGGCGCATGCACGGACAGACACATAACAACCAGTAGGAGAGAAAGAGCGGGACGCAGGTGAAACATACCGCAAAAACAAGGCTCACAAAACGGTGCATCTAAAGATTCGTACGAACTCCATAAACAATTGCCAGAAGGAGAAGATGGTGAGTGCTACCGGTGAAGCGTGCGAACACACACAGACACGCATAGAGATAGTGAGATACCAGAGCACTCTGACTCATTCGTTGCCTAAACTTGATCATCGCATCTTCGTTCATCCGTCCCCTCTTCCTGCAGAACGGTGCCTCTCACCTTCCTCTTCTCTTGGTGGGAGGAGCAGGAGTTCGGAGCACCTAACCCAAACACACCCGTCACTAAACTACAATAACCATAACACGACTGCTCCCACATATATATACACACACGCGAAAAAAAAAAAGGGGGTGGGGGTGGGGGCTGAGGAGGAGGAAAGTGGCAAGACACCCTCGCCAGCGTCACCACTGCTACATGTTGTTGGCAATCTTTCACGCTGCCACGTCAGCCCAACAGAAGAATGAAGCATCCGCGCAAACCACGCACTCCCTGCAGCAGTGGGGTCCCAAGTGTATCATACTTTCAATCGATCATGTCATTTATTCTTCATTTTTCGCAAAAACAAAACAAAACAAAAAAAAAACAGAACCAAGAAGGGGCACTCAAGCAGCAATGTTAAGGAAAAATAAGACAAAGACACCACAAAGTTCGCCCACATCAACAGCAGCTACTCCCACCCCCTCAATAAATCTAAAGACTTTGTTTGTTTCTTTGCTTACATTCGTCATTGTTTTCTCATCCACCCATCCACTATTATTTATTTTTTCTTTCTTTTTGTTTTTTTTTTCTATTTTTCTTTTCCGGTTTTCATTTGACTCTTCTTTTTTTTTTTTTGCGCATTGTGTCTGCATTTCTTCCTTGTGTGTTTGGTACGTGCATTCACAACTTCGCACACCTACACGCGCACAAACAGGGGTCCAAAAAGGGAAACACGCAAACAACAATTCCATCCACATACAGACGTTCACATAACGCTGCAGCACTTCGAGTTCGCCTTCGATGTTGGACCAGGGTGACGCAGGAGTGGCGGCGCAACCATCTTGTCGCATTCTCTTACATCCTCATGACAGGCGGCGACTACCTCATCGACCCTCCGTGGCATGGCAGGCATAGTTGGGTTGGATGCCTTTGGTGCCACGGGTGGCGCGTCGCTTGGTTCCCGCACCGTGGGTAACGTGACTAGAGAGAGCGGTTCTGTCAACTCCCCTTTTTGCTCACTGGCCGTCTTTGCTTCTGTCTTCATAACCGTTTGTTGTTGCACATTTTCCTCAGGCACCCGCCTCTTGACTTCTGGTGCCTTGCATTTTTCTGCAGCCTCCTCACGTTTCACAGTTTCTTCCGCGGCTGCATTTTTTAGTTCCTTACATTTTTCATGTCCTCCTTTAGCCTCTTCTTCCATAGCCACGTGCTTTAAGTCCTCACATGGCACCCTCGCCTCTACCTCCTCACCGCCATGTGCTGCCGCATTCATCCTCTCAAGACCGGCATTTTTGTCGACTAGAGAAGCTAAACCTTCCGTCGTCACTCGGCGAGACAAAGTGACATGACTAGACTTCGTATTTTGATCCGCTAAAGGTTGTGCCGCACCCGTTTCGCACACCTCGTACACGCCAAGGACAGCCACAGCCGAGGTGGAGGCGGATGCAGACGTCGAAGCCATATTTACAGTTTGGACTCGTTTTTGCTCGTTGAGAGGAAAAGAATGGCAATGCTTAGTTGCGTAATGTAAAACTGACGCCGATGGAGCAGCATCGGTGTCACTCTCAGAGGAAACTACAATGTCAAGAGAGCTCATGCGTGTCTTAGAAAGAGCCTGCGCTGATGGGGTTAATTCCCTCCCTCCTTCCTTCGTTTTGGCCGCAGCTACAGTGGCCACTGACGTCTCACTACTTGGAATCCTCGGTGAAGGCGATGTGGTCCTGGCACCTTGATTCTTTCCATGTAACGGCGTCCGCTGTGTTAGCACTTGTGAGGTACTAGACAGGCGCGGGATGCAAGACTTTTTGATCGTCACACGCTCTCTTCCCGCCTCCGCCGTCACCGCAGCCGAGCTGTGAAGAGCAATAGCTGAAGACCGCCTCGAGTCCGTCTTGCTGGTGAGCGAGACGGCTGCGACACCGTTTCGATGCAAGATGCTCCTGCTTGAGGGGTTGCTCATACTGTTGGAGCTGCGTCGCTTGCATTCTCGCTTGGCTACACGCCTGAGTTGGCGTTTTCCTGTGGGCCCGCGAGAGGTGCCATGTGACGATCTAGCACAAACAGGCAGCGCAAGTGAGGACGGCGATAACGTCGTCTCCGGGGACACGCTCGATGATGACACCTCAACGGTAATAAGCGCCGCCCCCACACCATCCTTGTCTTGCGAAAGATAATGTGGGGCAGTAACATCAGCTCTGATGGCAGCACCATTTTTTGTCACCGACTTTCCGGCACTGCCGTTTCTACACTTGACTGCACTGGCAATCTGCTGGGTCCCGTGAGGCGTTAAAGCGGAACCCACCCGGGGCAGTTTCTCACTTATTGCATCTTCCTTTCCTCCTTGAAAGGAGGAGTTGGGCTGCACAGCCTCACTTACACTTGATGCAGCCGTAGTACCAGGGCTCCGATTATAATGAGACGTGCTATCAAGCAGCCAGTCCGTCCGCGAGGCACGACATTTGACTAGTGGCTCGCACTTCGTCAGTTCCTCCAGCTCCTGGTGAATGTTAGAAGGCTCGCGTTCATAATTTTGTTGAGCCATATTTTAACGTCTTTTTTTTTGTTTCTCGCTTTTCCCAGAGACAACTTTAGATTGTCGGACACCCAACGAGGAAGCCAATCCACCGGGCGGAACTGCCCTTTGTATTCTTGACAATCTGCCTTGTATGTTTATCGCGCGCTCTCTCACTCTTGGAAGTGTGTTGTGGTTGTCGTTGCTTCTTTTTTTGTTCCCTTCACTGCCAAGCACGTACCAACGCCCCTTGTCGAGTCCACCCCCAGCAGCTCTCCGCGGTGCAGCGGGTGCGTGGCATGTTTGGCGGCAGCAGTGAAAAAGTGAAGAAGAAGAAGTGCGGGGAAGCAAAGCCAATGCGCAGTGGCGGGAAAGAAACAGCAGCACGACTCAACCACATGCATGAGGCGGCCACACACACACACAGAAAGAGAAAAACAAAAAACAAAAACAAGTGCACGCAACTAACATATAGCCAGATAGCGAGAGCAAAAACCAACACAAACACAAAGAAAACAAAAAAGTTCCTGCCTCGCTGCCACTGCAAGTAAGCGCCTTTTTTCACCGGCCGATGCCGTTTGGAATATTGACGGCACCGCCTTGACTTATTTTGTTGGGAGGAAAAAAAAAAAACTGGGAAAAGACGTTTCGACGCATCCCCCCTTTTTCCCCCCACATCCCACATCCGTTTTTAAGCCACTTCGTTTACAGACTAAACTACTGCCAGATAAGTAGGGTCTCTCACTTGTTTCTCAAAAACACTTTTTTTTTGCTTATTTTCTTCTCCCCACCTCTCTTTCTCTCTCTTGGAGAAGCAGTGGAATTTTCCTCGCATCCCCTCCTTCCATCTATCATTGCCGGCGCCAAGAAACACAGCATTTGCCTCCAAGACACAGACAAAACACGCAAAGTGAGACTGAGAGAGACGCGTACACACAGCAATGAAAATAAGGATACGTACATATATTTACTTACACGTGGATGTCTATATAATAGCTATGCATATGCATATCTTTGCAAGGTCCTTAGTGGATGCGTTTTGTTCCCCTGACTATTCTAATAAACATGTGTCTGTGTCTGTTTGTGTATGTATGTTGTGGTGGCGTTGGTGCTCTTGTGCGCTCGCTTGGCCCTGCATATACGCCGTGGTTCGCGCGGTCTTTTTTTCCCCCCGCTCACCTGCGGGAGCATCCAACATAAATGCCTCGAGATGGATCTCCGCAAAAAATGGGTGTTTTAACAATTGTTGGGTGCTTCACCGCTCCCCCTCTAGCTTAATTCAAAGGCAGTTGCCAAGGAAGTCGCAATACGGACCGAAGCACACATACTCCTCTCGCGCGTTTCCTCGTGCCTCTTAAACTGTTCAACTTCCTCCTCCGTCGGAAGGCTACGAGAAAGTCCTATCCAGTTTCCAAATACGGTAAATAAAAATGTAGTGGGTTGAGGTCACCGGCGACGTTCCAGATGGGGCGCTGCAGCATCTCACTGCCCACGCATCCCACGGCCCGCATGTCGCCTGCCATTGCTGGGGGTGACCGGTGAATGATCTCCGGTGTCATCCAGTGTGGCGAGCGCCGCAGTTCCTCACGTCCCTCAGCCTCGTGAAGGGTGCCGCTACATACAACGTCCGCCAAGTTGCAACAGCCCCTCTTTGTAATAAGAGTGCCCCCCCCCCCACCCCCTTGATATCCTGATGCACAAGAGCCATGCCATGCAGGTGGTGAAGTCCACGCAAGATATGAATCATGTACTTTTGAATGACCACAAGTGGAAGGCTGCCAAATTTCTCTCACCATGGTGTAAATGTTGCCGCACCCGACGTACTCGGTAAACACGCGTAACTCACGCTCGCGCTCCAGATGGGTGTTTCCAAGAAAACGCATAATATTTATTCTGTCAAGCTGGACGCAAGCACGTCCAGCTCCTTCCACGGCTAAATAATAAAATATTTATCCACATTATCATTTACTTTGGCTATTTTTACCGCCACCAGAGTGGAGTGGCCGGGAAATAATCCAAAATGAACCGCCACAAAAACTGCCGCAATCAATCAGATTTCCCAGCTGCACCTTTTTTCCAAATCTTCGTGACCATTGGCATCGAATTCCCCACAACAAACAACGGAGAAAGCTGTGGATACGCAAACTCGACGTGCTCACCTGACAATCCGGACGATGCCTAGACATCACACGAAGCTGGTCCAACGCATCTTCGTTCAGTGGCATCGGTAGCATCACGGAATTTTCACGACCCAGTTTATGCGTGCTGCACTCAGAACCCTTTCCACACCTCGGAGTACCCCCGAGGATGGTGCTGCACACCGATGCATATTTATTTAAATGCGGTTCCAGCCACAACAGCCTCACCATTTGTGGATGGCAAACCCAAATAAAAAAAAAATGCCTTTCTACGACGGCACTGAGAAAAGTCCAGCATTCCGTCTGACGCTCCGCAACAAAGCTCTCGGTAACGTAGCGCACACTCAGTATGCAAATAGTAGGAAGGGGTGGCAGGGTGCTCATCAGGGATTTCAGCTCCCGCAATAAAGGCACCAACTCCAAAAAAGCAGTAGCACTTCACCGAGTACGATTTCTCCTTACTATCACGGTCATGCAAGGAGAGGAGAAAAACAATCTTCTTCGCCTCCACCCTATCAAATGGCGCGATAACACGTCAACGTCCAGCCGCTCGCTGCACGGCCGTCTCGTCTCCTCCTGCGGCCAAGACGGAGTTTTGGTTCCGACCACCACCTCCAGACGTAGGAGAAACAGTTCGGTTTTCGTGTCGCTTAGACAATGAATAAAAGTGCTGCGTGACTGTAAACATGTACCCTGATTGAGGGTTCAAAACAGCGGTGGCTTGGAACGATGTACTTGTGAAGGAGGAGGTGGAGGCAAAAGATTGACGTGCTACCGAACTCAAAGGCGATTCATCCCGCGGTGTAGATGGTGGTACCTCTAACGGTGAGGCATAAACGATCAATGTTGACGCGTGGGGGCGCGTTACTCGTCAGACGCTCATGTTGTGACCCCACCTCTGCGGGCAACCCTCATTCATGCAAGAAGGCACCCGCCCTGGATAATTTCCTCGCCACAGACAAGATGAACGACAAAGAAGGCAGGGAAGGGCACCGCAAACAAGCAAATGACTTCCTACCAGTCCTTCCAAGCCCTGTAACCATTAGATCTAGGACCCCACAGGAAGTTGCTGCAATTCTGTCCCGACCCCTGGTTTTTGCTGCAATTGGCAAATGCACACTTGCCTTGCGGGTTCCCGGCGTAGTTGCACCCGTCCTCGTCCGCGGTGAAGACCCTCGTACTCAAGTTACCATCATTACTTGCCGAAACGGAGGTCGAGGCAGAAGCAGAGGCAGTAGCGGTTGTATCTTTTACCCTTTCCGTCGGCGACTGCAAAAAATAAAATAAAACTATGAAAAGGAGGAGCAACATCTGAGAAAATTACGACACAGCGCATTGCCTCTCTAGTTGCTGCGTCCGTACGTAAAACTAAAGCTATGGCACCAAAACTGCGCGCCGAGGAGTAAACCCCAAGCTTCCCACCCTCACTACCGGCCGAAAAAGATGCCGTGTTCGTCCGTGACCCGAATGCCCCACCTCTGACTACGGTACCCGATGCTGCATCCGCCACACTAATAGAATCATCTGCACGGAATGCCTTGGGTGGCTGAGTAACGGACGTCTCCTCCACTGCGCAGCTGCATTCATGTGTGGCGCATCGCTCCGGTCGCACGGAGGAAGCCTCCTCACTGTCCACTGAACTGGAGTTTGTCAACTGAAGCGAATCACCCAGCTCATGCAACGCAAAAGAACTAGTGATCCGTCTGGCTTACCCTGTCGCCCAAAGTAACTCATTCGCCTGGCGTTGCTGCAGTCTTGTCCATAATTTCTTTGCGAACCTCCCCACAAAACCAAGGCACGTGAGACCAGACGTGCGGAGGACAAACTCAATATCAAGGTGGCTGCGAACCACGCAGAAAGTGCAAGCCTCGTGCAGCAATGGCACCGTCACAAAATGTCCATCATCCAAGGAGTTGGTGTCCTCGTGCCGGTTGGGTGCATCCATTCTGTACATGCGTATCGTGTGCAGAGAAGGGGCTGGGGGTGTCTAACAGCAGCTGCGCCCTCTCGGGAGAGAGGGCCACCCTCGAGGAGTCCACAAAACTCAATAACAATAGTAATAATAACTGCGACTTATTGTCGGACGTGACGGTAACGACGGGGAGACACAGGCAGAAGAACCCCTCTTCAAACGTCAAGCAAACCACATCAAAGATAAAACTAATGCAGCAAAATAATATATAAGTGTCGAGAGTCAAGGGCGCGCTTTCACCCCGCCACCTCCAGAGGGCAGAAAACAAAAACAAAACGCACGGTATATATATTATATACGATCTCTGTAGAGGGGTGTGTGTTGCTTCGGTGCAGTCGCTTCTCGGCACCTCCAACCGGTTCTTTTTTTCTTTTTCTATTCTCACGTTACCACCCACACGCTTCACCTTTGTGTGGGTGAGAGTGTTTGGGAGGAGTGGCGGCAGAAGAATTTCACAGGAGTGTCACACACACATACATACATACACAAAAATGATGGAGGAAAACAATGTGACTCAAATGTTTCTGACTGAATTCCTATAGGAGAAAGAAGAAAAAGAAAAAAAAAGGCAAAAAAGGAGATCGTAGCATCCACGCCAGTAGGGAGATATGTCACGAAACACTGCGTCTCTACAGTGAAGAGAAGGGAGAAAGCAAATGGACAGCAGCACACAGTAAAACATGCTCAGTACTATATATGTATGGGTAGTTGAAATATTAGAAGCAGTAAAAACTGCATAGCTAAGGGCAGTGCAAGCATCATCCGCGCAAGATCATTTGTGGCCCCGTAAAAATCTGCCACTGAACAAAACGGAGAAACAAAACGCAAAGTAAACAAAGAACAAAAGCTGGCGGAAAGCAAACATTGACAGCGATGGCGGAAGGAAGGCGTTAAGGAAAGAAAAAGGGAGAAGAGAGCATTTCAGATGCCCACAATCACGCTCCACACACACCCATGTTGCCCCCCGCCCCTACAGCCCACCCCCGGCGCGTAGATGAAAGGGGTGTGCAGCGCAAAAAAAAACAAAACAAAGAGGGGGTCCGTCGAAAAGGAGAGCGGCAATGAAATAAATAAATAATGCAAAGAAAGGAAGTGCAGGAATGCGCAAACAACCACATACAAAAGAGTTAGAAAAAGACAAAAACAAAAAAAGAAGGAACATGCAGGAAAAACAAAGGGAAAAGAGAGGAACAGGAGGAGGAGAAGGAAAAACAAAACAAAAAAAAAGGTCTTCTTCCCGCGCAGAAAAAAAAACAACAACAACAACGACCCAGAAAGATACAATGAAAACAGAGAAAATCAATGATCATAATTGAGGAACTCTCTCTCTCTCTCTCTCTCGTTCTTTCATTCTTCTTTTGCTAGCCTCTGAAATTGGCTTCCATCCCCACGTTTATTTTTCTCATCTCTTCCATTCGTGTCCCTTTCCTCCTTGGGGTGCGCCATGCACCTGCCCCACTGTGGTATACACATTGAGTACGTGCGTAATACACCCACACAGTGGGGTCTTCATGCACGTGTCCCAGAGTCATATATATATATATATATCCGCTTGTTTCCTTTTACCTTGGTTTCGTCCCACACATTAGCCGCAGCTGCGGCAGCAATTCGTTTTTTTTTTTTTGGGTGGGGGGTTTTAGGTTAAATCTCCTTCCTCTTCTGTTGCGTTCTTCCCATCAACCGTACGGTTGTACATATAAACCCACATCTAAATACATATATGCGTACTGCCAACCCAATTCATTGCTTCGTTGTGGTTAGCAGTTTTTTTTGTTTTTTTTTTGTTGTTGTTTTTGTGTCTACGACACTTTCACGTAAATCCTTCCCCCCCCCTCTCAAGTTGCTACTCCCTTTGTTTTTGTGTGTTTGTGTGAGTTTTGTTTGTTTTTTTCATCATTGCCTTCTTTACATTATTTAGTTGATCCCCTCACATTTGCATCTGCCGCTTCTCCGTCCCCACCCGCCTTTCCTTCTCTACCCAGACTTATCTCGTCTCCGTCCAATCATCCCACTTTTTTTCTTTTTTTTCTTTTTCGTCTGCTTCCACATTCTTATTCCTGCAGCCCGACCTTCTCTTCACCCTCCGCTCTCCTCCACTAATTCTCTTGGGGGCCTCCTTGGGGCTGATGTGGAGAGTGTAGAGGCCACTTTTCTCGCCTTCCTGCCGTTGTGTCTGTTGCGCTGCCTCTTGCCGCTCACCCGTAAACAAAAACAAAAAACAAAAAAAAAACAAAAAATCTTTTCTCTTTTCTTTTTTTTTCTTTTTTGTTCTTCCCTCTTTGTTGTCTGATTTTTTTTCCCTTTCGCACCTCGTCAGCTCTCCTTTCTTTTTTTCTTTTTTGGAGGAGTTTATACTTCCCCCCCTTTCCGTTTGCTTTCTTGTTACTTTCTGCGCTCAGCAACAACCGCCACTGTTGCTGCTGCTGCCGGAGGGGCGGTTGCCACCCGAGAGGAGAGGTTTACTGTTAGCCGCCCCACCGCCAGCCCCACCGCCCTGCGCGGCCAGCCGCTTCTTGATGTCCATTGCCATCCGCGTGAAGGCCTCCTCAACGTTCGAGGCCTCCTTCGCGCTGGTCTCAAGGAACGGGATGCCGAGGTTGTCGGCGAAGTCCTTCGCCATCTGCGTGTCAACGGCCTTCTTGAGCACCAGGTCGCACTTGTTGCCGACAAGCAACTTATTCACATTCTCGCTGGCAAACTTGTCAATCTCGGAGAGCCATGTCTTGACGTTGTTGAAGCTTTCCATGTCCGTTGTGTCGTACACAATGATGATGCCGTGGGCGCCGCGGTAGTAACTACTTGTAATCGTGCGGAAACGCTCCTGCCCGGCGGTGTCCCAAATCTGCAGCTTCACCACCTTCCCATCGAGGTTAAGGGTGCGAATTTTGAAGTCAACACCAATCGTACTGATGTAGCTCTCGGTGTAGCTGTCGTCGGCAAAGCGGAGGAGGAGACAAGACTTACCCACACCACTGTCGCCAATAAGAAGCAGTTTAAAGAGGTGATCGTATTCGGCGGACATTTCCTGTTTTCTTTCCCTTGTCGTGTGTATGGGTGGATGAGTGTGTTTTTGTAATTTTTGCTTTTTGCTGTGTTAGATTTGCCTTGGTTTGCGTGCAACTACGAATAACCTGCTCAAGCCGAAGTATCCACCTTGCTACAGACCTATGACTTTCTCTACGGCCACCGAGGCGGGAGAGAAGAAAGAAGAAGGAAAAAAAAAAAAAAATAGGCCCCGCGATGGGTCTTCCACCAAAAGACGTCCCATGGGGAAAAACCAGCGGGCTCCTGCGCTCACAGGCACAACAAGCGAGACCGCGCAGCGAAGGTTGCTTTCGGTGTTTACTAGAAAGTCATGGAGTCATGAAGCCAATCAGAAGCGTTACGTCACCTATGGGTGTGGGCACGAAGGACATTGATGGGAGTTGCTAACGACGATGTGGCGGTGACCAAACAAGGCCACTTCCCCCACCCCCCACCCCACCCCATGAGAAGGGAAAGACAAAAAAGAAACAACAACAACAACAACAAAATATACGCAGACCCTTCTTTTTGGTGTCGTTCACTTCCCCACTGTCTCAATTTCGGCAGTGCGGTTATCTTTTGTTTTTTTTTGTTTTTTTACGCGGGTTTCAGGCTCACGCCCCTCCTCTCTTTGAGACGCAGAAACACAGTACCGCGTAGAACAGTCATCCACACACTTCCCACCGCAATGTTTCACAGCTAACGGCGCAGAACTATTTCATGTTGTGCTTCCTGGTACGTATTCCCCAGTCAATACAATAAACCATAGCTATACCCACTAGCCTTGAAAAACAGTGGAGCAGCAGAAGAAAATAAACCTTTCAGAAAGTCCGTGTAACGTGGAGCACATAATGAATAATAACTTCAAATCCCAAATTGTGCAGTTGTATGTAAACGCATACACATGTACAGATGGTTGTATCTATGTAGAAGCATATAGTCTGTAGTATGGGAGAGAAAAGAATAGGAAAAAAAAAACGCGTTGAAGTTATTGGTTTTGCAGTCAGTATAACGCTTAATGTGGAGCCCATCTTCTCAATCAAACCCCATCTAGTACTACGAATCGCAGTATTGGTGGTGGCACCGGTAGAAGGAGTAGAAGCAGCGGCAACGAAGAAAAAGAAAAAGAAAAAGGCAACCGACGAGCACACTTAAGCACTACCCCCATCAAGCTGCCGTTCCGCTGTTCTCCTTCTCCCCCTTCTTCTTCCAGCCTCCTTTCTTAGCCCCCTTAGGGTTGCTTACACGAGGAAAAGAAGCGGGGTTGTTTGTTCGTTCGTTTGTTTCCCTTTCAAAGTCTTACGTATGTGGATAAAAAAAAGAAAACAAAGATACGAGTGGGCGGCTCATATGCTGGCAATTGAATGTCATGACGTGTCGCATCGCAGCGTTCTCCATACTAACCAGAGCTCGTTATATTTTTAGTGATGTTGCGCGTCTCACTGCCCAATCCTTTTATATCAACTTTACCACAAGGTGAAACAGCGCCTTTTTACCTGCCCGTTCAAAGTGTCGGATGCTAGACAGCCCCACTCTTGCACTGCAAACCATTCGACGTTGCAGGCCTACAACACTAACAAAGATGGACTATCGATTATCATTTTCATACTAATATAATATAGGCACAAGCATGCAAAGCACGTACGCCACACTGTCATCCTCGCTGGGGCAGCGTCGTGTGAAATGAGAGTCTAACACGCGAGCTGGTGGCTAACGTAGCTCACTCCCCCACTCTTCCTCTCAACACAGTAGTACCCCCCACGTCAGATGCACTATTGGCCCTCATCCCACACTTTCACATTTGTGTTGCTTGTATTTTTATTTCCTCTTCTTATCTTTTTTGTCTGTTTTTCCTCAGTTATCCTTCTCTCTCGTCCTTTCATTGTGTCTCTTATATCAGTGATTTCACACACACCACATACCAGCTGCTGTGGCAGATGTATTGCTGATTTTCTTCTTCTTATTTCAATTTCTGCTCCTGCCGCGCCCCTCACCTTCCCCAAGCGCACCATCGCTTCCATTCCTCTTCTTTTTCTTTTTGCTTTTGTTTTTTTCCGGTTTTTTTTTCTCTGTTTGGTGTTGATGTTGTTTTTTAACGTTTTTTTTTGTTTCCGTCCGCGTAATAGAAAAACAACAATAAATAAATAAATAAAAAAACTATCCTTATCTTGCGCCCTCACGCCTCAGGGCATCCCCTTCCGGCGCACGCAACTGCCGTGTTACGTGCTTATCAATTTAGTTGTCTTAACCTCCTCCCCCCCCCCCACCCACACACACACCG